CTGTGAGATGGACTGTGAGACAGAGAGACAGGTGGACTATAAGACTGTGAGGCGGACTGTGAGACAGAGAGACAGGTGGACTATAAGACTGTGAGGCGGACTGTGAGACAGAGAGAGAGGTGGACTATAAGACTGTGAGACGGACTGTGAGAGACAGAGAGAGGTGGACTATAAGACTGAGACAGAGAGAAAGGTGGACTATAAGACTGTGAGATGGACTGTGAGACAGAGAGAGGTGGACTATAAGACTGTGAGACGGACTGTGAGAGACAGAGAGACAGGTGGACTATAAGACTGTGAGGCGGACTGTGAGAGACAGAGAGGTGGACTATAAGACTGTGAGGCGGACTGTGAGAGACAGAGAGAGAGGTGGACTATAAGACTGTGAGACGGACTGTGAGACAGAGAGACAGGTGGACTATAAGACTGTGAGGCGGACTGTGAGACAGAGAGAGGTGGACTATAAGACTGTGAGACGGACTGTGAGACAGAGAGAGAGGTGGACAATAAGACTGTGAGGCGGACTGTGAGACAGAGAGAGAGGTGGACTATAAGACTGTGAGGCGGACTGTGAGACAGAGAGAGAGGTGGACTATAAGACTGTGAGGCGGACTGTGAGACAGAGAGAGGTGGACTATAAGACTGTGAGACGGACTGTGAGAGACAGAGAAAGGTGGACTATAAGACTGTGAGGCGGACTGTGAGAGACAGAGAGAGAGGTGGACTATAAGACTGTGAGACGGACTGTGAGAGACAGAGAGACAGGTGGACTATAAGACTGTGAGGCGGACTGTGAGAGACAGAGACAGGTGGACTATAAGACTGTGAGATGGACTGTGAGACAGAGAGACAGGTGACTATAAGACTGTGAGGCGGACTGTGAGACAGAGAGAGAGGTGGACTATAAGACTGTGAGACGGACTGTGAGAGACAGAGAGAGGTGGACTATAAGACTGAGACAGAGAGAAAGGTGGACTATAAGACTGTGAGATGGACTGTGAGACAGAGAGAGGTGGACTATAAGACTGTGAGACGGACTGTGAGAGACAGAGAGACAGGTGGACTATAAGACTGTGAGGCGGACTGTGAGAGACAGAGAGAGGTGGACTATAAGACTGTGAGGCGGACTGTGAGAGACAGAGAGAGAGGTGGACTATAAGACTGTGAGACGGACTGTGAGACAGAGAGACAGGTGGACTATAAGACTGTGAGACGGACTGTGAGACAGAGAGAGAGGTGGACTATAAGACTGTGAGACGGACTGTGAGACAGAGAGAGAGGTGGACAATAAGACTGTGAGGCGGACTGTGAGACAGAGAGAGAGGTGGACTATAAGACTGTGAGGCGGACTGTGAGACAGAGAGAGAGGTGGACTATAAGACTGTGAGGCGGACTGTGAGACAGAGAGAGGTGGACTATAAGACTGTGAGGCGGACTGTGAGACAGAGAGAGAGGTGGACAATAAGACTGTGAGACGGACTGTGAGACAGAGAGAGGTGGACTATAAGACTGTGAGGCGGACTGTGAGACAGAGAGAGGTGGACTATAAGACTGTGAGACGGACTGTGAGACAGAGAGAGAGGTGGACAATAAGACTGTGAGACGGACTGTGAGACAGAGAGAGAGGTGGACAATAAGACTGTGAGGCGGACTGTGAGACAGAGAGAGAGGTGGACTATAAGACTGTGAGGCGGACTGTGAGACAGAGAGAGGTGGACTATAAGACTGTGAGACGGACTGTGAGACAGAGAGAGAGGTGGACAATAAGACTGTGAGACGGACTGTGAGACAGAGAGAGGTGGACAATAAGACTGTGAGGCGGACTGTGAGAGACAGAGAGACAGGTGGACTATAAGACTGTGAGGCGGACTGTGAGACAGAGAGAGGTGGACTATAAGACTGTGAGGCGGACTGTGAGAGACAGAGAGAGAGGTGGACTATAAGACTGTGAGGCGGACTGTGAGAGACAGAGAGAGAGGTGGACTATAAGACTGTGAGGCGGACTGTGAGACAGAGAGAGGTGGACTATAAGACTGTGAGGCGGACTGTGAGACAGAGAGAGGTGGACTATAAGACTGTGAGGCGGACTGTGAGAGACAGAGAGAGAGGTGGACTATAAGACTGTGAGGCGGACTGTGAGAGACAGAGAGAGAGGTGGACTATAAGACTGTGAGGCGGACTGTGAGAGACAGAGAGAGAGGTGGACTATAAGACTGTGAGGCGGACTGTGAGAGACAGAGAGAGAGGTGGACTATAAGACTGTGAGGCGGACTGTGAGACAGAGAGAGGTGGACTATAAGACTGTGAGGCGGACTGTGAGAGACAGAGAGAGAGGTGGACTATAAGACTGTGAGGCGGACTGTGAGACAAATAATAAATAAAACTTAATTCAAATGCATTAAGAAGCTGAAATGTATACAAATGTAGTAAACATTGCAAAAAATGAAAAGAGCTTAATTGAAATGCTAAAAGAAGCTGAAATGCACAAACAAAAAAATATAAGGATATAAGGAAGGAAAAATATAGGGATTAAAATAAGTTAGTTCCTATCAAAAGCAGAATAAAATAATTCAGTATGGAAATTAACCTAAAAAGAAATTTAGTTTAATAAAGAAAAAGAGTAATGTTTAGCTCAGATATTAAGATAATTTAGTCCTAAATGAGATGAAAATGTAAATATTTGCAAAATAAACTGTTCTGTGTGTTTGAGGTAAAACAGTAAGGTAAACTGAAGGGAATACCGACATTTGATTGGTTGCTGTGGGTGTCAGTCAGTGTCACTTGTGGTGATTGGCTGTAACTAAGAAAATGAGCTGGACTGGGTGGGAAAGAAAAAACGGAAGGGACGACAAAAAAAAAAGCCGCGAGAGAGAGACAGGAGAGACACGAAGGAAGAGAGGTGACTACGGAGCTGGGGAAAAGTGGACAAACTTACAGATATGCAGTTTGTCGAATGTTTACGTAACGTTTGAGCAAAAGACGTTATAGCCGAGGACAGTAAAGAACAGTACTCGCTTAACCGCAGTGTGTTAGAGTGCAGGTTTAATGCGAGTGGGGCTGGGCTAACTGAGCTAACGTCGGTTATCCACTGTAGCAGAGGACGTCGGTGATCCACTGTAGCAGAGGACGCCATTGTCATTGTCATTGCTTGCAGCATTCACACCCAAATATTATAATACATTAATATTTTTATATAAAACATGTTTAACCATTAATGCACTATGCATCTGTTTAATATATATAATGATTGCAAACGCATAAAACGTGATTCATTTTATTGTCAACCTAATGAGGCTGTATAAAATGTGTAAATACCCCATTCTTCAGGACACAACCGTTGTATTGTAACGGTAGAAAAAATAGCACAGTCCGTGGTAAAGTAAGCGCACCATAAAACGTAGTGGGAGTTATCGTGTGCAGTGCGTGACAGGACCATCGACTGTTTGATAACAGCTGATACTCGCACATTAGTTTCTATCATAGGTAAGTAACAGCTACTCCTGCCAGACAGTAAAGTGTACTAAACTTTACAGTGTAGTGATGTTAACACATAGTAATTGATTACGAATGACTATTATATATTATAACCACACCCCCATGTTTGAGAAAGAACGTTAACCAAAAACGGCAGTTACAGCTGGCTGGAGAGGGGCTTTAAGGACTGCCTAGTGCTCTGGTGTATGAACTAAAACTTGTAGTTATTCAAATTTGTATAGATTCTTTGGCACACTAAATACACAACAGAGGCTGAATAGCAGACTCACAATTAACTGTTCTAAAAGTATCCCCGCCTTCATTCCCTTCATTTGTTTTCTTCAACACACACACTGAGCTAATTTGAAAGATAAATATCAGAAAAGTTTAAAAAAGATTCTACCTGAATTTGACTGATAGCCTACATGCTGATTATAGACACTGTATCATGTTACCACTGTTATTTGTGCTTATTGTGATTAATTATCTGATTAGGCCCAACAAGGAAGTATACAATTACATATTTGGTGACCGTAAAGGAAACAATGAGTTATAAGTGATTAATAGATTACCACTCCCAAAGGTGTAATCATAAAAGGTGACATTAGAGCAAGGTGTAAGATAAAGGTGTTGCCTACTCTTTTGCGTGTACATGTGCCTTCAAAGACATAATAAACTGTGGATGGATCTGTACTGGGATTACATACTGGGAACTGAGATCATTTTAGCATCAGGTGCAGAGGAGCCGCTAATGTTACAACTAAACCTCCAACAGCAGTGCTCTGTGCCGCAAAACATGGGAATAATGCAAATGGCTGCATGTAAGGCGTGTATTTTCCTTTGCTGCCATTGCACACAGTAATATCTAAAGGTCAGTATTATAAAGATGGTCATAAGGTAAACTTCCAAATACATATGCTTAATTGACCGTATAAACATCTATACATTTGTATAATTTAGACATGAAACCGGTAAGATGATATTCTGAAAAAACGGACTGAACGATTCTTGCTGTTCAAAGGAACTATTTGTGATCATGATCTACTAAATATTACACATGACATTTAACGATCCCCGCGTCCCGACCCCGGATAAGCGGATGAAGATGGATGGATGGATGGACATTTAACGATTAACTGCCTGCATTTCTGTGTTTAAAATCAACTTTTTTTATGGAGAGAAATCCTAATTGTCATGGGAAAGTAATACATTCCCAAAGAGAACTATTTTTAAAATCACAAGAAAACATTCAACCCTGTACAGTTGCTGAAATGTCTGAATCCTTGCACATGCTTAATATATACTATTAAGACTTATTTTAAAGTTGTGAGTGGCATACCACTATCTGAAACTTAATATTAACCCTATTATAATGAAATAATAATACTTTGGAAATGTGGATTATTTGTTTACAAGATGCCAAATGATAAACCATAGTTTGTCAGAAACCTCAGAAAAAAAAATCCTTCTTATGCACATGTAAATAAGTGCAGTGCTGTAATAAATATCCATTTGTGTTCACTCACACATTAGTTGTGAAGATGCCGTAGATGAGGTCTTGCCCTGGCAGGTAGAAGGTGCTCTGCAGCTCGTTGTAATAGAAGGGGATATTCCCAGAGCGGGAGCAGTTGAGCCTCGCCTTCATGAATGTGGTCCAGGTATCCTCCAAGAGAAATCGCCCACCGATGTCGTTCTTGCAGACTCGCGCCACACGGGAATAAACTGTCTTGCTGCAGTCATGCTCCACTGCGTACTCCCTCAGGAAGAAGAAGGCGAAGAGGCCGATGTCGTAGGCTGAGATGAAGTGGGGCTCTGGCGGAGGGAGGAGAAGGGAAGGAGAGGATCCAGCAATAGTGTCTTTGTGACTGTGGATGATCCACATATCCTTTCATACACAGTTGTCATTGGAACTATTTTTATTAAAGAATTGGTTTAATTGGTAATTTCATTGTCCACAGTCTATGTCTATGTAACGTACATTTGGGTAATTCAAGTAAATTGAGACTTTAATAAATAAATATACAGCAAAGGACTTCTTCAGTTCTGACTGACTGGCAGGGAAACTCAGCTATTTAACCTCAGTGGGGTCGTTGGCCCGGGTCATCGATACCGCTGGTTCGTTAGTGTTCCCGGTTGCTGTGACGACAGTCGTTAAGACTACCTGTGGCCAAGACTGAACGACCATCGTTGGTATCTTCACCTGAGGCCAATAGGTTGCGTTTGTTGAGTTTCCTGGGAAGTGATGAAAGGACAGCATTGTAAGTGGGGGATAAGTGGTGGCGTAGACCCCCTCCCCTGTTCAATGACGGCTTCTCCACCCTGGTGTAGATGCTTCCTTGACACCTCTTTCAAACCATCCATCTTCTCTGTCTAAAATGTGCACCTGGTGGTCCTCAAACGAGTGTCCTCTGTCCTTCAGATGTAAGTAGACTGCAGAGTCTTGACCTGAGGAGTTGGCCCTTCTGTGTTGAGCCATGCGTTTGTGTCGTGGTTGTTTAGTCTCCCCAATATACAGGTCTGTGCATTCCTCACTGCATTGGACCGCATACACTAGATTGCTTTTCTTGTGTTTGGGTGTGCGGTCTTTGGGGTGGACCAGCATCTGTCTTAGTGTGTTCTTGGGTTTGTTCTTGTTTGTTGAAAATCCTCCTGAGTTTCTCTGATACCTCAGACACGTATGGAATCACAATGTTGTTGCGTTTGACCTTCTTTTCCTCCCCTGTAGTTTTGTTCTTCTTGGATCTTGTGGCTGTTTTCACAAAGGTCCATTTAGGGTATCCACAGGCTGTAAGTGCCCCCTTCAGGTGGTTCTGTTCCTTCTCTCTGGCTTGGGCGCTTGTTGGTATGTTCTCCGCTCTGTGGTGCAGTGTTCTCATGACCCCTAGCTTGTGCTCCAGTGGGTGGTGTGAATCGAAGAGTAGGTATTGGTCTGTGTGTGTGGGTTTTCTGTAAACACCAATCTGCAGGCTCCTGTCCTCTTCAATGTGTACAGCGCAGTCCAGGAAGGCCAAACTGTTGTTGTGAACATCTTCTCGCGTTACCTCATCACAGCCACAGAATCGGCCATTAGGAAAAACAAATTAACAGAAACAGAAGCGGAACAGCTCAGACTAAAGGTATCTGCATCTAATGCGAAGGCCCCCCCTTCCAACCTCAACATCCAAGAAAGGAAGGCCCCCACTTACAATGCTGTCCTTTCATCACTTCCCAGGAAACTCAACAAACGTAACCTATTGGCCTCAGGTGAAGATACCAACGACGGTCGTTCAGTCTTGGCCACAGGTAGTTTTAACGACTGTAACGACTGTCGTCACAGCAACCGGGAACACTAACGAACCAGCGGTATCGATGACCCGGGCCAAGGACCCCACTGAGGTTAAATAGCTGAGTTTCCCTGCCAGTCAGTCAGAACTGAAGAAGTCCTTTGGATGAGGGACGAAATGTCTTCCAGTATCTTCAACCAAGTCCAGTTGCCCTTCATTTTAACCTTCGTTGGATAACTATGACCTGGATGACTGAGAATCTTCATAAACATATTGTCTTGATGATTAGTCTACCTCTGCCTTTGTTTTGTGGATCTGTGTCTGCTTGTGTTCTTGCTAATTTTGGTTCATTCTTTATTCTGTTCTGGTTTCATGATCTGTCTCACCTTCCTGTTTCTTTCTGCCCTGTTAACTGTGTCTGTCTGCTGTGCCTAATTAGTCCTGATCCCTTTCACCTGTGTTGCTCCCACCCTGCTTGTTAGTTCCTGTGTGTGTGTGTGTGTGTGTGTGTGTATATGCTTGCTTATGTCTTCAGTCTTGGTCACGTCTTTGCGTCTAATGTTGAGTGTTCTGCCTCTGATGTCTGATTTACCTTTGTTGGACTGTTGGATTTTCCCTTTTGTTTGGACTCTCGCCATTAATTTAAAAGTAATGTGTTAGTATTCCTGTTTAGTTTGGACTAAATAAATCTTCATTTGAACTGCAACCTTTGCTTACTGTCTGCGTTTGGGCCCACACCTCTGTTCTCTGCTCTTGCACTCAGCCCCCCCACCTCTGTTCTCTGCTCTTGCACTCAGCCCCCCTCCCCCCATGACAAATGTTGAAATGTACTCATATTTACATTTTCAGAAAAGCTCCTATGTGGTTTGAGATTATTTTGCTAAGTTTTTAACTGTGTAAAGAATCAGTTAGAAACCCATTGGATTTAAAAAAAAATACATTGTTAAAAGCAAAGCAGTATTTGTGTGTTAGTCAGCCAGCATGTTATCCGTTGAAGTCCTTGAGAAAGACACTGAATTTGTGAATATCATGCTGACATATTACAATGACATGATATAATATCGAATTTGATGCCAGAATTAACAAAGAATTTAAAATAAAAACAACTATAGCCATAGATTTCTTCATTCTCAAGTTCCATTTGATTTTATAACTGAATAACTATTTTCTTGAGACATTTCATATTAAGTTGTAGTTTGAAACTGAACATTTCTAAAAAATAATAGGAAGAAACATCCATGGTGCTGTTTGACACTAAGCAAACTGTAGATTCATCACTAAATACAGTCTCTCTCTGTTAACAGCCATGATAGAATGTACCTCAGGGGACTTTGAAATGGAGTAGGAAGATACATAACTGCTGTCCACACAGCGGCAGTGGTCTCGTAATTTCATTTCACATCTACGATAGATGATCAAACAACTGGGTGTGTGTCCCACCCACTGAAACCTAGCTTTTGTCTTGTTTATCCGGAGGGTGATCTCAGCTGGGTGCAATCAGTCTTAATGCCCAACACCTGTGTGCAATTAGACTCATACAACTTCTGTGGAACCTACCACTGAAGCGTCAGCGATAGCGTGTCCTTGTGTGAAGACCTACTTGGTAAAGACCAACGAGTCTACCTGTGCTAGTCCACTGAGCAAGGCCGCCTACAAGAGAAGCTTTTTCCCGTCCCGAGGCACACCTACTCACCTAAAGCTGCCAGCTACAACTATACTCAGGGCATGTGCTACCACACTATTCCTATTGTCTCCGGTCCACGCAAGAGGTATCATGCCATCAGGCACAGAAACCAGGCACTCCTCAAGCCTTTAAAACAGGCACCAGCCACATCTGTTTACTTGTCTGTTGGGTCATGGAACTGCCAGTCGGCAGTCAACAAAGCTGACTTCATCACTGCTTATGCTAACACATTATCTCTTGGGCTACTGGCGCTCACTGAGACCAGGATCAAACCAGAAAACTCTGCTACCCCCGCTGCGCTGTCCACCAATTACTCTTTCTTAATTTCCAACAAATGGAAATTCACACAGCTGCTACCCCCGAATCAATGTGCCTTCAAATACCATGCTGTCTTTGTGTCCCATCTGGTAAAGGTCTCTGTAATTGTCATATACCGTCCACCAGGACAAATGGGTAACTTTGTGGAGGAGCTAGACACACTACTGTCTTCAATCCCAGAGCATGACTATCCCCTACTTGTCCTTGGTGACATGAACATTCACTTAGACAATTCAAACTCAGCAGACTTCCTGTCTCTGATTCAGTCCTTTGATCTAACACGGGTTCTGAGCCCCCCGACCCACAAAGCTGGCAAGGTGCTTGACCTCGTTCTTGTCCATGTGTCTGACCACTATTTCATTCAGTTCACGGTATGCCTACAGGAAAAGCCTATTCTTCCAACACCATTGGTCTCACACCGCTGCAACCTCCGCAACCTGTCTTCCGCTCACTTTGCCTCAATGGTACCTTTGGCTCTACCTTCCCTCAACACATTTTCCTCACTTGAGGTCAATGATGCCGCACAATTTCTGTGCTCTACACTAAGCTTGTGCCTGGATAGCCTGTGTCCTCTATCCACCAAGCCTGCTCGACCAAACCAGTCCCACCCGTGGCTAACTGATACCATCCATGGGCTCCGTACTGATCTCAGAACTATAATAACAGAATTAGCAGTGCCACTGACTATAGGATATTATTTTCCACTTTTAAAGCACTACTAAATCCTCCTCCACCACCCACAAACCTGTCTGCTGATACCTTTGCTGCCTTCTTCACAGGCAAAGTGGCGGCTATAACTTGCCAATTCTCTGAAACATTCAAACTCAACCATTGTATCAGTCCTACTACATCTTTTCCTCTGCCCTCCCAGGTCAGTGTTTCTTCACTCTCCTCGTTTACTCCTCTCACAGAGAGCGAAGTACACTGCTCAAGGGAACACTTAAACGACACAATGTAACTCCAAATCAATCACACTCCTGTGAAATCAAACTGTCCACTTAGGAAGCAACACTGATAGACAACAGGTGGAAATTATAGGCAATTAACAAGATACCCCCAATAAAGGAGTGGTTCTGCAGGTGGTGACCACAGACCACTTCTCAGTTCCTATGCTTCCTGGCTGATGTTTTGGTCACTTTTGAATGCTGGCGGTGCTTTCACTCTAGTGGTAGCATGAGACGGAGTCTACAACCCACACAAGAGGCTCAGGTAGTGCAGCTCATCCAGGATGGCACATCAATGCGAGCTGTGGCAAGGTTTGCTGTGTCTGTCAGCGTAGTGTCCAGAGCATGGAGGCGCTACCAGGAGACAGGCCAGTACATCAGGAGATGTGGAGGAGGCCGTAGGACAGCAACAACCCAGCAGCAGGACCGCTACCTCCGCCTTTGTGCAAGGAGGAGCAGGAGGAGTACTGCCAGAGCCCTGCAAAATGACCTCCAGCAGGCCACAAATGTGCATGTGTCTGCTCAAACGGTCAGAAACAGACTCCATGAGGGTGGTATGAGGGCACGACGTCCACAGGTGGGGGTTGTGCTTACAGCCCAACA